ATTGGTATCATGCATGAAGAAGAATAGTCGTGCCTATGTGATTGACTCGACGATTTTATTGCATTAGCCTCCTTTTGAATATTCAAAAGTACAATTAAAAAATTTATATTATTTTTCACATATACATATATGTATAATATATACAGAGTATATTATATTGGTTGAACCACCGTGAACCAAGAAAAAGAATAATCAGACTTACTTTCAATTTTTAAATGTTTACTAGACCGAACGCAAGTAACTTCTTTGATTAACTGAGTTACAAGATTTAAAAAAAAAAACTTTGCTAACAACTCCGGGCCCACATGGATGTAACTTGTGGAGTGTCCCATGAGGGCAATTGTTTTATATTTTTGGACCCACAAAGATGCACATAATTGTGTAGTCTCAATCGAACGATACTGTCGTCAACACATATGTTGTCACATAGATAATGGCATACGATGATGGTCCAATGAAAATTTGGAAGAAAAAATGATCATTGTCCTATTGTTGCACTTGTCACTAAGTGATCCAAATATAATAATCGTATACAGTGGTACTGATTTCCAGTCTTTTGGCCTTAGTCAATACCGGCCATATTTAAGGCTGTGGTCATTCCCTGCTAGACAGGCAACCCCATAAAACAATTCATCCATCAATTATTGGAATATATAAAGGAAACAATTATGTTTGTGTATAATATATATACACAGTATATTCCTCCTCCTGAAAATTCAAAATAACAATTCTTTCCTTATTCCAATTTTTTTCTTTTTGGAACAAGAGTATAACTTTGATAACTAGGCATCGTTTGCAAATTAATTAATAGTGAAAAGTGAAATGAATGAAAGGAAATATATTTTCCATTGTGTATTTGATTAACATATAAAAATAAAATAAAAAATAAAAAAAAATCATAGAAAATTTCCAACATGAAACTTACCATAAAAGAAATGACATTATTGTAAATTCAAATAATTTTCTCTAGAAATAAAAATTTCCCGTATTTTTTGTTAAAAAATATATATATATATGAAAAAGTTATGTGATTATCAAAAGTACATTTCCCTCATAAATTTCTAGAATTTCCTTTATTTTCTTGCTATTTCCGTCATCACCATGGAAGTGATATCTTATCTTTTTATAATTAGTTTGGTAAAAAGGAAAGGATGGAAGTATGTTTCCTTCCAAAAGTGGGAGAAAGAGGAAGGAGAATAATGAAAATAAGGCTGCTAGATAAAGACATCTTTAACCTCATTTTAATGTACTAATTTAAATATTCAAGGGTTTATTAGTAAAACAAACTACTTTCTTCCCTACGAAGCACTAATCAATACATGCATCATTTCTGAAGTGAATACAATAATTCACAGAGCACCCGTGAGTGACTTAGCTCTATCATCTTTATGGAGGGTTGAGCTAATGAAACAAAGCCTGATACAAACTATCAGTAAAAAATTTCTTAAAAATTAACTTCCTCCTAACGATCTATTTTTATCATCTTTTTAATGCGTCACTATATATCGGATTTCAAATTTTCAAAAATCTCATAGATTTCAATAATGCTTAAAAATTTTCATTGATTGTCCCCTATCTCTTCGAATACATGTTTTATGTTTTATTTTGAGATATCTCAAAATAAGAATATTTTAGAAAAGTTCAAATATGCTTAAAAATATTTACTTAATAATTTAAATCTTTAAAATTTAAAGGTAGGGGCGCATAATTAGATATGGCCCTTCAAAAAATTAAGATTCTTAAAATGAACACTCATTTTTTAAATGAAGAGGATAATTAACTATTAAGAAGCAATAAAATCAGACTAGCTACAACTACTCATATCTTTGTATACGAGCGAGTTTGATATGGGGTATATATTAAAAACAAAATTAAATTTTTTGATATAATTTTACAACCCTTTAGTTCCGCGCTCTAAAAACTTATTGTCGAAACAAATATATGTAGAGATATAATGAAGTTGCAATATACTCCGTAAAAAATAAAAAAATAAGTAAAAAAAAAGGTGGTTTATATGGATTGTGACATCCGCGCTCCAAATACATCCACCAGCTGTCCACTAATATTTTTATTAAATTGAAATGACAGAAAAGCCCATCTTTCCTCCCTCTCTCTCTCTCTCCCCATTCAGGGTTGTTTCTTCTCTCCTCTGACCTTCTATCCTATACGGCTCCTGAATTGTCTACTCATGGCCTCCACTTGTAAATGAAGTTGCCAATTCGAAGTTTTAATCCTATGTTTAGTAATCTTTCCATTTGCTAAATCTTTCTACTACTCTCATACTTGAATCCAACTTAACAGACCCAAATATCCCAGTGAAAAAGTGACATCAAAAGGCTCGAGAATATACCTTCAAAATTGAAGCTTTGAGAGAGAGGAGGGCTCCAAGATTGTAGGGATAAGAGAGCGAAGCAAAAGGATGTAGCAGTGATTGGTAACGTAGGAAGAGGATAGAGAGACAGAACACTTTGGGGCGCAATGTATATAGGGGCTTTATTGTCATTTCATTTTTATTTATTATATATATATATATTTTTTTACTGAGAATGAGGGTGGAGCACTTTGGGGCTGGAATATCACCTTCCATATTATACACACATATTTATATTTTATCCCTTACCCAGACCAATAGCACCGGACCAGGCAAAGGAATAGCCCCAAATTCATGAAACATTACATATATTTATTTCCACCTTTTCTCCACGGCATCAATTGGGGTGAAGAGAATTAATTGAAAAATTGGAATATAAATTTTTTAGGTAAATAAAAAAATACTTACTGCTCCCAGCTGGGCAGAACAAAGAAGGAATCATCTGCCTTTTCAGGCTATATTACAATACCCTGATACAGAAAGCAAACAATCATAACTTATGGCAAGAGTAAAATAAAGGGAAAGGAAAAAAAAAAAAAAAAAGATTGGTACACAATTTTACTTTTAAGAGGTTTTCCACAACAAAATGAAAAAAGTTGGAGAAGAATGCTAGGCATGTCATACTTATGACAGATACATTATAATCAAGAAGTAATGCACATGCTTAGAATGAATTCTTGGAAAGCGTTTTGCAAATTGTTATTCATCTTTATCTGTCTTCCTACTTTATTGAAAGCTAAATTTTTCTTCTTCTTTAACAAAGCAACTCTTATTTGATTCTCCCAAGACAGAATCCGTTTTAGTTCAATTATTTAAAAACAATTTTCAATAATTTGAAATTATTTAGAGAACTACAAAGGCTATTTACTGAAATTAAACATTACTATTAAACTAAGATTTTCATAGAACAATTCTCAGAAAATTATCAACAATTTCAAAAAATTCTCTCTCATGTTCTATTCACCACCTCTCTTTCTCTTCTTTCTAACTTGAAATCTCCATATATAGACTACATTTATATATAAACCATTTGATTTCCGAACACACCATCTAATATATCACATTTATGTGTCATCATCAACCAGATAAAAAAATAAAAATAAATAGTTAATACTAATAAATAAAAAAACTGAACAAACAAACATTTACACAAAAAAAATATGAGCAAATACCAAATTGCATTTCTAATGCTTAAGGTATAAACTTTAGGGCATGTCCATCACGAGGGCACTCTCACCATGAGCACGCCCTCTCAACGATTGAATTGAAATGCTTCTCTCAATTCAACATCTGACCATAGCTTTCTTCTAAACTTCAAATTTCAATTTACAATAAATAATTCGTTTTAGGTTACATAACCAGTAGTTCCAAAATGGCAAAACCTAAGCTGGTTAGGTGTCTTACCAGTGAACCTTGTGCAAGCAACTTGGAGAAAAAGCAACTTACCAGAGTTAAAATAGCGGCATTCCACTGGACTTCTGAAATAAAAAGTTAGTATTTTGATTTTCTTTTTTTTTTTCAAAGCTCACTGTTTACTCATTAGAAGACATTTTCAGGGAAAACTTGTCTTCTGGATAAACAAAATTTTAGACAACAAAACAAGCCATTCTACAAACCTAACAGAGAGTCTGGGATAGCTGTTAATATTAGGTAGCCTTGTCTAGGACTCAATGTCACATGACTTCTATTTCCAAATCCTCCAGTAAGTATTGTTATATCAAAACATGAAAAACTGTAAATCAGATAACTTCTAAGACTAACTATTTTCCAAATAAGGTTATCAATAATAACAATGGCAATAGCTAAAGAAACATAAGAAGTATAGTTAACATCTCCCAAATATAATTCTGATCATGCTTCTCCAAGTAATATTTTATGTATGTTTAAATATTTATAAGAACCAAGTACTGTAGGTTAACAAAAGCAAAAAGACCCTCCACTTCTACTTTTTACAAGAAAAAAGACCATTTTAAGTCAAAAATGGTATGAAAGATAAGAAGTGACCTCTCAATAAGAAGTGAGATACCAAAATAAGCAGTAAGCAATAAATTTTTGGTTAGATCTAATCACATGATATCAGAATAAAACAGAAAGGCGTATGAATATTTTCTATTTTGGAAAGTAAAGCAAAAGTAAGTTTAAACACTCAAAATCTAATTTATCAGACACTAGAAACATAAACCCAAAACAGTAGTAGTATTGCAATCTAGAACCAGAAATATCAGGCAAAGCACCATTGAGCTCTGCCACAAAAATGAACAGTAGTAAGTAGAAATGAAAAGAAATTAAAACTGCATCATAGAATAAAATTAGTGAGAATAAAATTCTGACACTGGTAGAACCAGTGGTCACCAATAATTCATTGTATATAGAACATGCTGCCATAAACTCGAACTGTACATCAAGATAAGCAGAATCAATGTATTTCAAAACCAAGGCCATATTAGAATGAATAACTGGTACATACCCTTCACTAATTAAATATGGATACCTTCCATTCCCCAGATGAAAGGAGCATGAACCAAGCAGGCTTCAAAAGCATAAAATTCGATGTATCTTGGGGGCCTTACAAGCAAGGAAATGTTATAATTGACAGCAAAAGAAAATAAAGCAATTTGAGAAAAAGAGCTTAAAGAAAATGACATATTAAAATCATATTAAATGAAGTATCACAAGACCATCTGTTACTAATCATAAAAGTTCAAACAAAACCAGGTATGAAAATTATTAGCATCAAGTTGGGTTGAGGTCAGAAACCACCATCAGCACAAGATGAAGTCTACATGCACCAGAGAAAGGAGTCGCGTCATTACAATTTTAATGTCCTTGAAAAGCTTCTTCAATGCATTAATGGATAAACTGAATTTGGCTAAAAGTCTCTGCAATTGTAACAACAGCATGGCAAGATTAGATATGCATCCGAAACTTCCAACTAGTCGAAATCATAACAACAGGTAAGAAAACGAGTTGACAAGAGCTCCAAGAAACCTCAATCCTGCCAAAGAGTATGATCAACAAGAAAAGTTAACAAATTAGATGAAAATGATAATGCTGCCAATCACAGCAGGAAAAAAAAGTGGAAACCGCTGATAATATAGACATGAATATCCAGAAAGCTCTTGGTTGTCTCCATATATTATATTTTATAAATCTTTATCCGATATGCCCTGATCGAACAGATGGAAGTAATCAAAGCCATAACCTTTAGCATGCTGGTTATTAAATCTAAAGGACTCATTCAAAGCAAAATGAATAGCTCCACCTCCTTCCATTCCTTGTCCAGTGAGGAAAATTAAAAGGTACCAGAACCAATGAAATTCCAATGTTAATATCCAAGAAGAACAATATGGAAAAAATAACAGCCAAAATTGGCTGCCATGAGACTAAATCCCAATTAAGGTAGCCATTTGTCAGTTTGTCAACAAACCAATTAAAACTAGGGGTGCCAATTTTACCCGCCTCGCCCTGCACCTATTGGGACGGGTATGGGACCCCTTTAATAGGGTTTGGGATGGGTATGGGAAAAACTAATAAAACCAAATCAGGGTTCGGGTCAGGGACGGGGTTCTATTCCATCCCACCCTGCCCCGATTATGATATGAAATTACCTCTTTACCCTTATTTACCATAAATATTTCTCAAATACTAGTAAATATATAGCTCACATTAGGGTTTCTTCAACTTCTCAATCAGCCGCAGCCCCAGAACCTCCCCCACAACCTCCACTGCACTACGCCCCCATTCCCTCTCTGACTCATTCTACACCCCTCCTCAAATACCTGTATATATATATTTATAATCAAGACATGGTATTACTGAAAGTATTGGTCTGAACATCTTTACTAAGCAATCCGATCTCCGCGTTGTCGTCCTCTTCTCCTCTCACATCAACTACATTGTTTGCTGCTCTCGGCTTTACTGGATCCTCACTCTTCTATGGCCGGTGATCGGATAATGATCTCTCTCTCTCTTCTATGGTTAGTCTACTATTTGTAAATATACATGCATATATAGATATGGTTAGGGTCTTCTTCAGTATTTACACACACATGCACATATATATCTTCGTGCTCTCACGGGGCGGGACGGGCGGATCGGGGTTGTGAGTTCTATTACTAAACGGGGTGGGTTGGGATTAAAACTTCAAACCCGTCCTAGGTTTGGGACGGGTATTGGACCAAGAAAAATTAAACAGGTAGGGGTTAGTTCAACCATACCCACCCAATAGCCATCCCTAATCAAAACTAAAGCAATATGATTAGCATTTACCATATATGACTTTATCATTTAAATATCATAAATAAAAGTAAGACATATAGTTGAACTATATATATATATTATTAGTCATTGATCAAAATAAAATTGCATTTAAATTCTCAAAATCCCTTCAAATTTTCAGCAGCCATTAAATCCCATATGCAAGGTTTATTTGCACCACCAGCCCCTTGGCCTACACCTCCCCAGAGGTAGGTTGAGGGTTCCCAGGTGGGGTAAAATAGGTGCATGGCATTGCTTACTTGCCAAAAAAAGAAAAATTGTTAATTTGCCCCATTTATAACTTCATGCAATTATATGCCAAACTTGTTTTTTTTTATATTGATGCATATTCCTAGGTTGGTACAGGAATGAAATCACAAAGTGGCAATGAAAAGCTTTTCCTTTGCAACTAAAGTGGATCCATTTAGTTTCAAAAACTATTACAATACAATAATGTAAAAATGATTTGAATTTCAACCTAGTCAAATATTGTATACTTACATTACGTTTCAACATGAAAACATCATCTCCATTGGAATTGTGTCATTTCATCTCAGCCATGAACTTTTCATATTCAGGGTCTGTACCATAAGTTGTCTGCTGACTTTGCTCTGCAGATGCAACAGGTGGCGGAACTGGTGGGTTTGAAGCCCATGGCACATTTGCAAATTTCTGTTGGTCCACTGTCAAATGAGACACAGGTGGAGGAGGAGGAGGAGCTACAGCATAATAAGATGGGTAACTTAAGGAAGATGGAGGATATGTAGTTTGAGAGTTTGGTGGCATTCCAGTCATCGAGTTTCCATAGATATTGTTAGCTGTAGATTGTGAGGTCACATCATTCTGAGATTGCACTCCAGGGGGGTAGCTTTGCTGGGCTTCACTAGAAGGCATATTCAGAGGCGGGGCACCAGGGGCAGCAGCTTGTGTTGGTGGAGGATAATGTCCACTGTAAGGGGGCAAAGGCTGACCTTGGATGGCGGCAAACATATTTGGTCCAAGAGGAGGCGGGGGATAAGGAGCATATGGAGGAGCAGGTGGTCCCCAAGGAACAGGAGCCCCCATATAGCTGCCAGGTGGAGGTGGTGCACTCCCAAGAGAGCCACCTGATGCCATTTGCTGAGACGGGTAAGCACCAACTCCTTGATTAGGAGCAGGATAAATGGACATCTGCGGAGCAGGAGGTCCAGGGGCCACAGCAGGTTGTGGTGCTCTGCCTGCAACTCTTACTGCTATTACTCTCCCCTCCAGACGATAACAATTCATGCTAGCTATAGCTTGATTGGCTTGAGCAATATCAGTATACTTTACAAAACCATATCCTTTACTCAATCCAGTCACCCGATCCTTTATAACCTTAGCCATCACTATATCACCAAAAGGTGCAAACAATCTGATCAAAGCATCATCATCTAGAGTAGGTGGCAAGTACCCAATATACAAATTTGTATCATCAATTTCTTTACCAATCTTAGCTGCATTGCTGCCCAATCCGGGATGTGACGTGTTCCCAATACCTCCAGCACCATTACCACTGGCCCAAGGGGGATTGCTTCCTGAATTGTTGGAATCCATAATAGGCAATGCTGGGGTTTGCTTGGTAAGGGATTCTGGGCCTGTCCCTCCTAATTCTGCTAAGAAGTTCTGGTACTCATCATCCATTTTCTTCCCTGCAGTCCCTTTCACTGGGCAATCAATAGTGGGGTGCCCACCATCACCACAAATCTTACACAGGACATCACTCTTAAAAGTCGACATCCGAGCTGGACATGCATACTGCCGATGACCGGGCTCTCCACACAACCTACAGAACTCATCTTCCCTTATTGTTCCATTCAAGGCAGCAAGCTCCCGAAGCTGCTGTCTCTTATGCTCATTGAGTCCTTCATCAACTGGTTGCAAAAGCTTCTCCACCATCCCCACAGCAGCATCAAGTGCATCTTGTGTATCTGCTTCCACCAAAACGTGCAAGTCCTCATTCTCAGCCGGATCAAATTTCAAATCACGCTTCTGCCCCAACCTACCTTCCTTAACAGACCCCTTCCCCCTAATCACAATTTTCGCTCCCGTCTCCTTCTCCATCCTCTTTTGCGTATTTCCTCTAGGCCCAATTATAAGTCCGATGAAATTGTAACCCGGGTATTCTTTCATTGGTATGTAGAGCTTCTTGTTAAGCTTCGGCGGCCTATAATCTGCTGGTGGCTTAAAAGCAGGGTTCCGTTTGAGAATTTGTGAAATTATCTCTTGTCTCTCTCTATTAAGCCTTTCACGTGCACGATACTCTCTAGTGTTTATTCGAACTCCCACATTATCATATATAGGTTCAGGGGAAGGCGATCGACCGCCGTCGGGTCGTTCGTCTAGTTGCAAACCAGATTGTAACATTCTACTAATTTCAAGAAGCCTAGCATTTAACACTTGAATTTCGGGGTCAAGGTCCATACCTCCAGTGAAGTCTTTCATAAAATCAGGCAGTTGAAATACTGGTTTTGGTTCGTCGTCGGCCCACCGTGACTTCCTCTTCTTGGTCCCGCCACCGGCGTCCCCATTCTGGCCTTCAGAGTCCGTCGTCGGAGGGTCCCACCTACTGCGTCGCCGTCGCCGACTTGACGTTTCCTCTTCGCCGGCAGAATTATCCTTGTCTGTGCCACTCTGGGTGACGTTAAATTCTGACGTCAATGCTATCTGGAGCTCTTGATTGGGCAAAGTCTGGTTCTGACAATTGTCCTGTGATTCAGCTAACGGATTCGGATTCGATGGTTCGGATGGATTCATGAAGTTGGATTCTGGAATTTGTGGAAGTATTGGATTGTTTTCCTGAGCTAGGGTTTGTGGAGTTTGAATTGGGGCTTGATTGTGTGGATCTAGGGTTTCAAAAAGGGTTTGAGGAGGGTTTAGTGGAGGTGGGATCTGAGAAGCGTAAGCTAGGGTTTCAAAAGATGAAAAGTAGAGGTTTTGGGAAAGAGGCTCAGATGGAGGACAGGGTGGAGGTTCGGAAGGTAGGGTTTCAGAGGGTAGGGTTTGTTGCAGAGAATCCATGGTTTATTCGCTATGTAGAGAGAGATTTTAGTTGTGTTGGACACAATTTACATGTAACACTGTTTTATTTATAGTACAACTATTTATATATTTTTAATTGTTAAATTATTTATTTATTTATTTTCAGATTGTTAAATAGGAATAATAGTTTGTCTTGAAGAAACATTATGAGTGACTAAATGAGTAACATTCAGATATTGAATTATTTTATTTTATTTTTTAAATGGAGAATAATCCATTAATGACAAGTTTAAATTTGTTAATCAATAATATTATTAGCTATTAAAAAATAATGACGTCAAGCGTACATGTTTAACAATTTATTTCCATGAAAAAGATAGTTTTTTTTTTTTTGAATAATTTAATTGTAAAATAAAAACCTTTTTAAATATTTAAACATATTGATTATTGACTTCTTGAAGTGTTGATGAGATAAGGAACTGTCGTCATGTTTTTTGGTTGTTTGAAAATTCCATTAAAAAAATCAAATAATTACACAAGTTATGCTTAATTCATGCATTCACAATGCACTGCAAAAATAAATAAAATTGATTGTTCTCAACATTACATTGGCATATGATGGTTATGAGTCCTATGACCAAATTAATGGTGGAGCTAGGAGCCTAGGAAACTAAGTGGGAAAAATGTCATAAAAATTCAAAAACTTAAATGTTCATCGGCACTATTTGTATATATTTATCATTTTTTTGTTAAAAAAAAAACAAATTCTTATACATTTATAATTATCCTCAACTAGTTTTTATAATTTTGCCAATCTTTTTAATATATGAAATACCCTCCATAAATTGCAAGACTCTGGTAATTTTTAATAATTTTAAAAATCAATTCACAAAAAGATCAATCCTTTATGTTACTAAAATCTATATTTTTTTTATGTGACCTAAAATTGAAAAAATATATATTGATCTCAAGCATTTATCTTACTGATTTTGGGTGTAAGAAATGTAACTGAAGAATATGAGGCAAAGTGGAAGAGGAGATAAGATTACTAGTAGGGAAGACATGAACAAAATGTAAGTTGTGAGAGTAAATTATTTGCAAAGGGGTTCCATGAAAGAAAGAAAGATGTCGACAACAAAAAAAAAATGTTTAAAAGTTTGGGGCAAAGTTTTATTTTCTTTTATTTTTTAATAATTCGAAGATGGAGGCAATTTTATAATTTTAAGGTTTTATATATTCAAATTAAAAATAGGTAAAGTGCATAAAAAAATAAAAATTAAAAATTACAGCTACTATATTTTAAAAAAATGTGCAAAAAATACCCCTACTATCTAGTATGTGCATATAAATCCACAACATTTGAAAAAATGTAAAAATTACCCCCTAATATTTATTGACCGTTAATTTTGACTTTTTTATATAAAAAACCCAAAATATCCTTAATATACTCTTAAAAACTGAAACTATTATTTATTTTTTTTAGTGTCTCAAGGTATTTTAATTTTAAAATTGATAAAATGTCTTTATTTATTCAAATTTAAAAATTTAGGGTTTTTCCCAACATGAGTTTGGGAAATATCCTAGAGCTGAAACAGAAGTCTTGCATCACATGGTCTTTTGGTATTCAAAATACCACTTTAGCATATTCCACCACTTTTTAATTATAACCACAACCAAAAGATGTTTGAATATTCTACCACTTATTGACTATAATGTAACTAAAACATCTTATGCTGCATATCCATTATTCCACCACTTTTTTTATTATTACTGTAACTATAATCTTTAATTATTCCACCAACTCTAGTGTGCCAGTTTTTTTTTACTTACAAGATTTGGGACAAGTTTTCGAGGATATTTTGGAAAGTAAATTACTTTTTTATAGATGAGAATTTTGGGTTCATTTCGTGTTTATTTGTTTAATAAATAAACCGAGGTGGAGTTTAATTTTGGGCTTATTTTTTGGGGCTCCGCTCTGGGAAGTTGCTGAATTGAAATTATACACATCAACCCAAAATTATTTATTTTCATAAGCCAGAATTTCAGCACCCATAGACCTAGCATTATTTCTCTTTAAGCCCAGTCAAGTAAGACCAAATACAAAGAAGAAAGTTTGTGATATTTGCAAATACATATAGGTATTATACCCTGAAACAGGCCCATAAAGATGGGCACAAAAGCTAGAGTAGGCCCAAAACAAGCAGCCCAAACTCAAGCCCAGAAACAAAATCAACAATTTGAATCAAAATGCAGTAAAACCGTTGTAAGAAAAGAACCTAACCTGCATGTTAATGCTTAAATAGAATGTATATTTTTATTACTGAGTAGAAGTACATAAATTAGAAGGCCATAAGTTACATTTTATGATGTCTCCTTTTCAGAAGAAAGGTTGAAAATTCAACCTTGCGGAGAATAATATTATGCCTGTCATTTACTGATATATTGTGCCATAAATATATATATATATATATATATATATATATATATATATATATAGGAAAAAAATATATATATGGCGACATTTAATATTGGCTGCCCTGCTTCATCCTTTCTTTTTCTCTACTTCTTTGACACAGCTAGCCTGTATTCCACTCTCCTCAAATTACATTTCTTTCCACATTTTTTTTGCTTTTCCGGGTGAGGATATATTATCATTTTTGTGTTCTGGTTTCAACAATTTTTTTGTGGTTTTTGTGAGGAAAATTTATAAAAGCTCTTGTAAGTCACATTCCACCTGATTAGACCATGTTTTGTGATGAATGAGAAAATAATAAAACTAATTTATTATCTTTCAGGACGTGTGCTATGGGTGGATTGAAAGCAGAGCATCTCTATATTTCAATTAGTCAAAAATCATCAAAATTTATGACTAGTGGAGAGTCAAATGATGAATAAGTCAGACAGTGACATAATTTATGGCAAGTGATTAGCCTGAAGGATTATTTCATATTTGCAAAGTTAGGTTTCAAAGAGAGTTTTAAATTGATCGCTTAAATTTATCAAAATGAGCCAAGCCATTAATCGTATTTTTGCATTTATAGAATGCTTCTATTGCTAAGATTTTTGATTCATGACATGGTTACATGAATCTATAATCATTAATTTAAGAGATAATTTTTTTTTTTTTTTTTTTTTTAATTACCAGACAAGAAGAGTTAGAATTTAGATTAGTAGATATAGAGAGTCGAAATCTGACACTTCAAAATCTACTGAAAGTACTAACCCACGGGCTATAGAGGCATCTGGAATTTAAGGGATAACCAATGGTTAATAAAGTAAGTGATGTAAAGCTCATGTGGATTAATGAATTTTACGTAACATATGTAATTTATTAAAAAGTCCCATTTCGATGAAGTTTTTGGATAAAGAATTCAGATTCTGGCAAGACTCAAGCAAATGTTCTAACCTTTTAGTCCAGATTTCGATGACGATTTCGGTGATCGAAATTGAACTTCCGACCAACATAAGAAATGCTTCAACTATCTTCAAAAAAGCGATTATGCACATTTAAATTTTGATTTGCTCAATTATACATCTCAGATTCAACCATGTTATCACATTATTTTTATTTTATTACTTAAAAATTAAATTATAACAAAAGTTTCAAGAAAGATTATGTTAATTTCAAGAAGTTGGTTTTATTAATTATTAGAATCCATCATAAAAATGACATTATATTCAGTGTAGGAGAAGATAATTACAAAAATATATAAATATATGATAAATAATAATATCCTAAAATTATATTAGTAAATAAATTATATTGTTGAAACTTCTGTTATAATTTAATTTATAATTACTAAAATAAAATAATGTGATAACATGGTTGAATCAGAACTGCATAATTAAGTATGCACAAGAAAGAGATCTGCCTGGAGGATCGCGGTGGGTGGTAATAGAATGCAAGATTTTTTAATTTTTTTATATTATAATTTATGAGATCATGGTGACAAAATATATCATGTAGTACAAGGTCACACAATACCGATGATCCTTGTGTGGGGTACGCAAGTACACCACGTAATGCAAAACATATTCGAGTGTCGACATATGAAGGCCCATAGTCCTCTGTAATTCAAGGTCACTTCACCATTCGATGATCTTTGTGTGGGGTCCGCAAGTATACCACGTATGCAAAAGCATACTCCGTATTTGAGTGTCGACATATGGATATGGAGGACACTAGGACAGAGACCAGAGAGGCCAAAGGCAAATTTCAGTGCACCAAGTACCCCTCGTCACTTCAGGAAAAAAAAAAAAAAAAAAAAATTTAAGAAGTATCCTCGTCGCTGGTGTCTACTCCAAAGTGGGCCTTGAATTGTAATGTCATTTTGACAAGACTTACCCAAAAATAAATAAATAAATAAAAATTTCCTTAATAACACACGAGGATATACTTTGTGAAAAAGATGTTGGGTTATTTTCCAAATGATAAAAAAACGTGTTTTGAGTATTTTTGCAAGTAGGTGAGTGCAAGGGTGGAATTATACAAGGGTTAACTTGAATTATAATTTCAGTTTAATTTATTATTATTATTATTGTACATAAGTTTATGATCTATTTGCAATATTGCTTTTTTTCTTAATTCAGTGTATTTTATAATCCTGACTCTGCCCTAAATAAGTATACCACGTATGCAAAAACAAATTTGAGTGTCGACGTACATACGGAGGCCAGAGAGGCCAAAGGCAAATTTCAGTGCACCAAGTACCCTCGTCACTGGTGTCTACTCCAAAGAGCGCCTTCAATTCTCATGTCATTTTGACAAGACTTACCCCAAAAAAAAAAAAAAAAAATTCTTTATTAACGCACAAGGATATATTTTGTTGAAAAAGATGTTAGATTATTGTCCAAATGATAAAGTGACGTGTCTCAAGTATTTTTGTAAATAGATAGAAATAGGTGAGTGCAAGTGTGGAATTACTTAAACGTTAACTTGAATTATAATCTCGGTTCAAAACTTTTTATTATTTATATGCAAGTTCACACTCTGATTCATTTATAATATTATTTTTTCTCTTAATCTGGTTTATATATAATACTATCGTTCATCTTAATTCGGTCCATTTTATAATTTTAGCTCCACTCTCAATAAGTGTCAC